GAGTGTGTGTGAGTGTATCTCTGAGAATGTGTCTGTGTGAGAGAGTGTGTGTGTGTGTGAGTGTGTCTCAGAGAATGTGTCTGTGTGAGAGTCTGTGTGAGTGCGTGCCTGTGTGAGTGAGTGTGTGTGAGTATCTCTGAGAATGTGTCTGTCTGAGAGAGTGTGTGTGTCTGTGTGAGTGTGTCTCTGAGAATGTGTCTGTGTGAGAGAGTGTGTGTGTCTGTGTGAGTGTGTCTGTGTGAGTGAGTGTATCTCTGAGAATGTGTCTGTGTGAGAGAGAGAGGGTGTGTGTCTGTGTGAGAGAGTGGTCTGTGTGAGTGTGTCTCAGAGTGTGTGTGTGTGTCTGTGTGAGTGTCTCTGAGAGTGTGTCTGTGTGTGAGAGAGAGTGTGTGTGTGTCTGTGTGAGTGTGTGTCTGTGTGAGTGTGTCTCAGAGTGTGTGTGTGTGTCTGTGTGAGTGTCTCTGAGAGTGTGTCTGTGTGTGAGAGAGTGTGTGTGAGTGTATCTCTGAGAATGTGTCTGTGTGAGAGAGCGTGTCGTGTGTGTCTGTGTGAGTGAGTGTGTGTGAGTGAGTATCTCTGAGAATGTGTCTGTGTGAGAGAGCGTGTCGTGTGTGTCTGTGTGAGTGAGTGTGTGTGAGTGAGTATCTCTGAGAATGTGTCTGTGTGAGAGAGCGTGTCGTGTGTGTCTGTGTGAGTGAGTGTGTGTGAGTGAGTATCTCTGAGAATGTGTCTGTGTGAGAGAGCGTGTCGTGTGTGTCTGTGTGAGTGAGTGTGTGTGAGTGAGTATCTCTGAGAATGTGTCTGTGTGAGAGAGCGTGTCGTGTGTGTCTGTGTGAGTGAGTGTGTGTGAGTGAGTATCTCTGAGAATGTGTCTGTGTGAGAGAGAGTGTGTGTGTCTGTGTGAGTGAGTGTGTGTGAGTGAGTATCTCTGAGAATGTGTCTGTGTGAGAGAGTGTGTGTGTGTGTGTGTGTATTAGCAATGCGTGATTTACAAACATTTTCATATTCTCTCTGGTAAAGAATTGTTTCCATATTCATATTCATGTCGTATCGAAATACAAGGTACTTCAAACACACGGATCCAAAACACGCTAATAGAGAGTAAGTTAGGTTATTATCGCTAATACAGGCACCAGACGGAGTTTCTGCTGACCTTCTCTGAGGATGAGAGTTTGACCAGAGAATCCACTTGATATAAAGCGCTCCCGGACTCCTGCTCGTCGCTGTACAGCCGCACTGTGTTCGTCTCCTCGTTCAGGAGCAGCTCGACGTTACTCCACATCCTCGACACTCACAGCTGAAGCGCAACGGTTTCTGACACTTTGAGAAGCGAAATCTGCGATCTGTCATGCAGCTCACTCACACAACACTAACTGTACTCCGTTATTATTGAGGGAAAGCAAACTCCGCCCACAGCCTTGAAATTTGGCGCCTTCTTCTTCTTCTTCTTTGTACTGGTATTCCGCATTATCAGTGCGTTACTGCCATCTGCTGGTGACTCGGATCAGAAACACTTTCTTTATCAGAGTTCCTCCTCCTTCTCTGCTAATATTCATATTAATATGCTTAAAATAACTCTGCACTTCCTCTAACACCATACTTTCATACCTGTCCACACATTCACACCTTTGTATTTTCTATATACTTTAAATGTGGTGCCGCCTACGTCTTCTTCTTCTTCTTCTGCTGGGTCGGAGTGTGAAGCGCTGTCGTAAAAGGCGAAGGGAATTTTGTCCGTTACAGTGTTTCATAAATCTGACAGCTTTATGTTGTAGTGAGGAAGCATTAGTATTTATGAAAGCAATATAATATTGTTTTTACAAACACAGTACACTCATTTTGTAAAAGCAGGAATCAAAAAGCAGAGCTTTTACTGCAATAAACATCAGTTTACAAACCTAAAACAGTCAGTAAGGAACTATAGATCTGTTTTTAGTTATGTTCAGTGCCTAGAGGAACATGTCTGTTGTAAGTCTATCTGGAGTCAGTGGAGCTGTTGAACTGCAGGGGGCGCCAGTGTAACACTGAGGGGAGAAAACAGCATGAAGCAGACACTGAAGAGCAACATTTCACATTACATCATAATCCAGGACCATGCACCTCACAAATAACTCAATTATCTTAATCTAACACCTTTTTCAGTTTATGGTCTTTATAATAAATTATTTATAATATAACTTCTTTATAGTAAATTCTGTATTATATAAGTATATATATATATATTTTTTTTACTTTGTAATTTTTTTTGCATTTGTATTTGGGAATTAATATTAAACCAGATTTTAAGGTATGAAGCAAACCTTCAATAGCTTTCTATTTATTCTGTGCATTTAATAGTATTATTGCTATAATAAAATTATTTAATATTCGTTATACCTTGTTTCTGTGTTGTGTCTGTGAGACTGTGTAAAGATTCCACTGAAGGCGAGTTGAAGTGAGAACCCAAGTGCTGTTTATTTACACAAAAACAAAACATAATCCAAAAGACTTGACTTGACTTGACTTGACTTAAACAGACTCACCGACAGCGGGGTTACAACATCAAAGCTAGACAAAGAACAAAGGCAACATGAGGGCTATTTATATCAAATAATGAGGGTCACATGACAAGAACCAACCAATGAGAACATGACACATGAACCAAGCAACCAATGAGAACATGACACACAGACAAGGGAATCACATGACAGAACATGACTGTGGCCAAACTACAAAATAAAAGACATGAAAACAATGAACAAGAAACAAAACCCAAACCCCACGTTACAAACTGTTTAACTTTCTTTTCGCATTAATTTCCCCATCCGTCTCTTCAGCATCCTAGAAACCTAAATAACCTAAATAAATAAAAAAATAAAATAACATAAGACCAAGCTTGTCAATCAAGACGTTTTTAAATTGTTATGAGGTCTTTCATCTACACCCATAACATATTTAATTTTTCCCATCATAAACAGATAAATATTGAAAATGTTGCACTAGTTATTGTTTTGTAATGTATAATTAAATGTATAAAATCACAATACATTTGAAGTTCAATACAAAATGTTAAACTATTAGGGATGTCCCGAGCCGATCAAGCCATTTTGTAACTGATCGTATCGGCTATTTTCCGTCAGCTGTCATGCATTTGTTGTGCTGTTGTGCATCTTTAAGTGGGTTTGCCAACCACCATTAACAGGAAAAGAAGACGCTCAAGTGTGTGTGAGACGCGTGAGAAACACTGAGGTCTGTTCTAGCACGTCACACACGTTTGATGTTCAGTGTATTTGATGCGCACTTTTGTAACGATCACTCATTCATTTATCGTTTACTTTTATCTGCGTCTGAGACGTCGTTGTTATAACAGGCTGCCATGGATTGAGTCTTGATTCGGACTCGACTGACAGACTGACACCGCGAGCTTCATGCTTTCTAACCTTATCTCCACTTTATGTTGCAATTACTCTGCTTAATATACATATAACATACAAGACGTTTATATCAAGTAGTCCCATATTCATAACTGTGACCACAAAGTCTGCTTACAGTGTCAACCATTGTAACATGTTTACAGTACACCTGCCAATGTCTGTATACAGTGTGTGCATATATATATATATATACATAGAGAGAGAGAGAGTGTATCTTGTAATATATATACATATACATACATCATACATATATTACTTTTACTCTCTGCACAACTCTGTATACATTGGATTGATTTTAATAACTTTAATGTACTTGAAGTGTGCACCAAACATACATTCCTATAGGAATATACAAGTATCGGCAGATACTCAATATTCAATAACTCAGATCAGATCAGGGGCACACAACACCTGATCGGGACATGCCTATAAAACATATACAAATACAAGTTGTTTGAGAGTGTAGAGACCTGTTACGTGAAGCTAAAAAACTCAGATTCGGTTGAGAGTTGACAAAACCAAAGAAATCCAAATCCAGCTGTTTATTTTTTTTTATAAAAAAAAACATTAAAATAAATATTTTTATGGAATAACTGTTTTAAAAAAAGCAATAATCTCTGTGAAGCCATAGTTTGCAGTGAATCTAGAGCAGATAAGGGGTTTTATTCCGCTCTACGTCCAGCCTAACAATGCTATGAGCGATATTGACAAAAATTATATTGCAATATGTTGGGGGATTTTTGTAGGTAATTAAACAATATTTGGCTGAGTGTGTTTTTGTGCTGGTACCATGGCTATGGATTAGTAAATATGACACTAACATTGGGGTTCAAGGGGTCCCCTTTGTACAAATTGAAGCTAAACACTGCAGTGTTGCCCTTTGTTATTTGGTTCTTTGGTAAGCAGTTGGTACTTCATGGAACAGCACACAACTGGAAAACATAAGGAACTGATACAGATTCTTACATATGGACTCTGTAGAAGACTATCATAGCGCAACACATCTGCCGAGAGAGCATTTTGGAAACGTACCAACTGACAGCGAAGTTGAAGATGATTGCAATCTTTCAGTTCAAAGATCACAAATAAAGCAATCAAACATCCAGAAAAAAACTTTTTTGTAAAAGAGGACAGCACAACCTAGTATACATTGTGTACACGAATCTGGTCACTGGTAAGGACCCTGGTTCACTAAACGGTCGGACAGAGATTACTCAATTTCCAGCGAGATGCCAATGTACAACGTCAACATACAACACTGTAGAACGTCACAGCACGTTTTGGAATTAATCAACCACAGGCAGGACCTATATATTTAAAATAATTTTTATGCTCTTTAAACACTTTGTTCTGTTACATATCCTTATAACATTTCAGTCGAATATTAACTATAAATGTTAACTAAATGTGTTCGCTATCTGTCTAGTGATGTGTTTATGCTGACATAAAAAAAACAATAACAACAACAGGTTGCCTTTGAAATTGCCATTAAAATTGCAATTATATTTATTCAGTTGGCTTATTCACTTTATGTTTTGCAGTTCAGAAATGTGACAATTTCCGGTAAGGGAGCATAGTGAGCATCGATGCTCCCTGTTTTTTGCAGTGCATTGTGGGTCTTTTCAGGTAGTGAACGTTCCAGTGACTGGAAGGATTTTGTGATTGAGACTGGAGAACTGATTTGGAGTGCCAAAAAACACAGTTTATAGAGCTGTGAAACTCACTTGCAATCATCTGCTCCAGCATTTGCAAAAATACATTCATTTGCCAAGGGTCACTGTGTTAGATGTCATCGCCGAAGGGCTCCAAAGGCTTGGGCAAAATGCAGCAATGGGAAAAGCTGCTGGAGCAATAGATGGGTGCCATATCCGAATAAAAGCACCAGGAAAGGGGTTAGCACCATACCATTACAATCGGAAGCTGTACCCATCTATAATACAAGCGATCTGTGATCACACTGGAACGTTTCTGGATGTTTTTGTGGGTTACCCTGGTTCTGTCCATGACTCCAGGGTGTTAAAATATTGTGTTGTGTTTAGAAGAGCTCTTTACACATCACTGACACATTTTCTTCATGGGGATGGAGGCTATCCATTCATCCAAGAACCCATTTCCATCCTAACACCTTACAAAGAGTCAGTGAGAAATCCTGTTGAGGCTAGATTTAATAGCCACCATGCCAGGGCACGCTGCATCACTGAAAGGGCATTTGGCATGCTAAAGACCAGATGGACATCAGTTTTCCTGTGGATCACAGATTTGCACCCAGGGTTGTGGCTGCATGCACCCATGTTGCATAATCTCTGCATGGATGTAGGAGACACAGTTACTCCACATGAGGAACCTGAAGAAGCCCCACAAGGTTGTGCTGATCAGCAGGAGTCTACTGCCATGACGCTCCGTGATGCACCTGCTGCCCAGATGTCTGTACCCATACATATCCCCACACATCTAGAAGAACATGACCCTCACAAACATAAATACATGTTTTTTAATTTACCTTCTGGCTGGTTTTTATTGCTTACTGTAAAACACTGTATTAACACTTCCCATAACACCTGATGTACTTGCTACATCGTTAGAAGGATGGCATCTACGCTAATATTAGTCTGTTTCTCTCTTATTCCGAGGTCCCCGTAGCCACCAGACCCAGTACGTATCCAGATCAGATGGTGGATCAGCACCTAGAGAGGACCTCTACAGACACACTGTTTTATATAATTACACCTAATTAATGCTGTGCAGTTGCTTTGACACAATCTGTATTGTTAAAAGCACTATACAAATCAAGGTGACTTGACTTGACTACTGAAATTGCATACCTCACAGAGATAATAAAACACTTTCCACGGCTGAAATCATTTATATCATAATTACTAGCTAAATAAAGTTCATCTAGTACATATTAGTACATATAGGCTTTACAGACAAGGCTTAGCTTAAGCTAGGACTATGCCTTAGTTAAATTAGGATATTTAAGACACTTTTATAAAAATGCATTAGAAAAAACAT